GGCAGCAGGTGTAAATACATTTTTTAAGGAGTTTGACTGAGAAAGGGAAGAGAACTATAAGAAGGCAGTTTGACGGGACAGTAGAGTCTAGTCAAGGTTGTTTTTTGTTAAAAAAAAAAAAGACTTGAGCATGTTGAAGGAAGTAAGAGAAATGAACATATAAAGAGAGGTTGGAGATTTGTGAGAGAGTGAGGAGATAGATGATTGAGGATATGATTTGCTGGAGAAACTGAGAGGTGATGAGATCAAGTACACAAAGTGAGAAGTTGGCCTTGGCAGGCAGAAAGGCCACTTCTGTGTGTCAGAGAATATGGAGAAAGGAGAAGAGAGTGGGAGGTGATGTCAAGTTTTGAGATGAAGATCAAAGGAAAAGAGGAAGCTCACAGAGAATGGCCTACATTTTCTCAATAAAGACTCAGCTGAGAGTAATCAAGTGAGGGGCACATGTGGGAGACTTGAGGAGGGAAGGGAAGGTTTGGAATAGCTTCTGTGGAAAATAAGATAGGGAATTAATTATGGGGGGGGGGAGAAGGACTGCTTGCTGCAGGAGAGCCCAGCTGCTGTTGGACAACATGAATTGTAATTGGGGTGGAGCTGCATTGTATTCCTCTTCTGGAAGAGACCTGGATTCTCACTTCATGAAGGAATCAGTGGAGAGTGGAATAGCAAACTACTCCTGGCTTGTTTGGGTTTTCCTGACTCACTCATCCTTTCCAGGCCTCCCCACTGCTGGTTCTGGGAGATCCCTTCTTGAAAGAGACAGGTGGTGGCCCTTGAGGAGGAGAGCTGAACTAGAGACATCACAAGAATAAAGGGAGGAGACTAGGTTAGGTAATGGCCCCATCTGCCTAACCCTTCCATGGAGACACTGCTCTCCAAAAGGGGCAGAACAAATTCTCCTGTGTCCTCTCTGGTTCTTCTGTGCTTTGAACCCTTTCCATCCAGAGTCTACTTTCACACAGGTCGATTCTCACAGGCCTCTGCTAAGAGGAAAGGCTATTTTAGAGAGGGGGAGTGGCAGAAAGGGAGGTGGGGGGGGAGGCTAAAGAATACCATGATTTTGCCTATTTAGATAACCCAGTGACCCCTTTGCCTTTCAGATGGATGACATTTACCAAAACATCTCTCACTATGCTGGTGTGGAGATCAAGAAGCTTTCGTAAGTCTTTGCCATCTTTGGGGAAGCAGAGCCACGTAGGGTGGGAAGTTACATGGTGTGGGTGCCCTATCAGTGTGCAGTATTCTCCTTCCTCACCTCAACATCCTTCAAGGATGAATCAATCAGCTAGCAAGACCTCATTGCTTGCTGAGGATACAAAGAAAAAGCACAACAGCCCTTGCCTTCTCATTTAGAGCAATAGGTAAATATAAGATAAAGATAAGAGTAGAACAAGGGAACCTTAGAGAAGAAATCACCAGCAGCAGAAGATGGATGGGAAGTAAGGGAGACCGGGGGACACCGCCTACAGAAGGGAGTGTTTGAGTTTTGAAGGAAAACAGGGATTCTAAGAGGAAGCAGGAAAGCAGAGGAGCATTCCAGGCATGGGGGGCAGCAGAGCAAAGTCCCATTGATGGGAGATGGAGTGTGTGTTTAAGGAACGGCAAGAAGGCCCGTACATGGCTGGAGTGTACAATTCACGTACATTCGTGTACATGATGTACAAAGGAATACGTAAGAAGACCAGAAAGATAGGAAGGACCAGGTTGTAACGACCTTTAAATGCCAAACAGGAATTCATTATTTCATTCTAGGGGTAAATAGAGTCACGAGAGTTTATTGAGTAGGGAGGTGACATGGTCAGAACTCTATTTTACGCAAATCTTTCTGACAGTTCTGTGGAGGAAGGATTGGAATGGGGAGAGATGTGAAGCAAGGAGACCAGTTAGAAGGCTATTGCAATAGTCCAGGCTTAGAGGTGATGAAGGTCTGAGCTCAGGGAGCGGCAGCCTTAGTAGAGTGAAGGGGGTATACCAAACGGATGTTGTAGAAAAAGAAACAACAAGATTTGGCAACTGGGGTAAGAGAGAATGAGGAGAGGAGGATGACACCTAGATTGTGGAGGCTAAGGAAGGAGTGGCTATGAGTCTGAATTCTGAATGACACCTGGATAAAGGACGTTCCAGGTTGTCCCCCATCTCCATGAAGGGAGTTTCCTCTAGAGGGAAGAGGGCCTAGCTGAGAGCAGACATTGTGGCTCAAGCACTCTATTCTGTATGAAGCCTTACGTGGCCCCTCCTCCCCAATGTGGTTGTCAGGTTGGCCTGGTTACCAACCCCACTCAGGCACTGAGAAGATGATGAGATGACCTCGTCTCTTCTTTTCTCAGAAATGGCAGTGTACTGGTGGACTATGATGTGATCCTGTCAACAAGTTTCACCCCAGATTACAAGACAGAATTGCAAGCTATCGCAAAGAAGGTAGAGGAAACAATTAAAACAGTAACCAAAGAGCAAGCAGACACAGGATGCACAAGTAAGTGCCCCATCTCACCCCTGCTCACTTAACTTTTTTCCTGATTACCCTCCTCTACATACATGATGCACAAACTGCCTCTACACTTGTCTTTGTTCCCCCTGGGTCAGTCACTGTATCTGTGACGTGTTCCCTCTCCCTTTGATTTTTTTTTCTCTTTTAATTTATTTATTTTTAGTTTTCAACATGCGCTTCCACCAGACTTTGAGTTCCAGATTTTCTTCCCATCTTGTTCCTCCCCTAACCCCAAGACAGGGTGCATTTTGAATACCCCTTCCCCTCTCTGTCCTCCTATGTCCCCCACCTTCTCTTATCCCCTTCCCCTTCTATTTTCCTGTAGGGCAGGATAGATTTCTATACCCTATTGCCTGTATATCTTATTTCCCAGTTGCATGTGAAAACAAATTTTAAGATTTGTTTTTCGGGCAGCTAGGTGGTGCAGTAGATAGAGCACCAGCCCTGAAGTCAGTAGGACCTGAGTTCAAATCCAGCCTCAGACCAAACGCTTGACACTTAACTAGCTGTGTGACCCTGGGCAAGTCACTTAATCCCCATTGCCTAAAAGAAAAAAAACAGAACATTTGTTTTTAAAACTTTGGGCTCCATATTTTCTCCCTTCCTCCCTTCCCGCCCACCCTCATTGAGAAGGCAAGCAACTCCATACGGGTTATACATGTGTAGTCAGGCAAAATACTTCCATAATAGTCATGCTGTAGAAAACTATATTTCCCTTCATCCTATCCCACCCCCCATTTATTCTATTCGGTATTTTGACCCTGTCCCTCCTTAGAAGTTTTTATTTCTGATTACCCCCTCCCCCAATCTATCCTCCCCTCTATCATTCTCCTGCAATCTTGTCCCTTTTCCCCCATTTTCTTGTATGGTAACAGAGATTTCCGTACCCAACTGAATGTGTATGTTATTCCTTCCATAAGCCAAATCTGATGAGAATAAGATTTACTCATTCCCTCTCACTGTCCCCCACTTCCCCTCCACTGTAAAAGCCTTTTCTTGTCTGTTTTATGTGAGATAATTTACCCAATTCTACCTCTCCCTTTCTCCTTCTCCCAGTATAATCCTCTCTCACCCCTTAATTTTGTTCTCCAGATATCACCCCATCATCTTCAACTCACCCTGTGCCCTCTATCTATCTATCTATCTATCTATCTATCAATTTAACTATATATTTAATTTTTTTCTCTCCAACTACCCTAACACTGACAAAGGTCTCATGAATTACAAATATCATCTTTCCATGTAGAAATGTAAACAGTTCAACTTTCATAAGTCCCTTATGATTTCTGTTTCCTGTTACCTCTTCATGCTTCTCTTGAGTCTTGTATTTGAAAGTTGAATTTTCTATTCAGCTCTGGTCTTTTCATCAAGAATGCTTGAAAGTCCTCTATTTCACTGAATGTCCATTTTTTCCTCTGAAGGATTATACTCAGTTTTGCTGGGTAGGTGATTCTAGGTTGTAGTCCTAATTCCTTTGCCCTCTGGAATATCATACTCCATGCCCTCAAGTCCTCTAATGTAGAAGCTGCTAAATCTTGTGCTATCCTGATTGTGTTTCCATAATACTTGCATTATTTCTTTCTGGTTGTTTGCAATATTTTCTCCTTGACCTTCTCCCTTTGTATTTAGTGAATTTTTACCCCTCTTTTCAAGGCCAACTCAAAACCCACTTCCCATGGAAAACCTGCCACTGGGTTTCTTGTCCTTAACAACCTTTTCCCCCTCCTACCCCCCACCTCAGACCTTGAAGACATAAGACCTCTCTAATAATGGCCATCACAAATTATGTATTTGCTATTTCTCTGTGTTTTTATTTTTCTACCACTGTAAATTCCAGGAGGGCAGCATCATCTCCAGCACCAGAAACCAACGTTCCCCCCATTTTCTTTTGGGTTCAGACTTATGATTTCATCAGTGTGAGGGAACTAGCAGTGTGGAAACTCCCTCCACCAATCCAGATTCTCATCTCCTTTGTGATACAGTCTTAGAGTTGCCTGGGCCACTGAGAAGTTAAGTGACTTGCCTGTGGTCTCACATCAAGTATGGCAGGATTTGAACCCAGGTCTTCCTAACTCCCACCTCAGTCCTTTAGCCTTTATACCATATCATCTATCCTTTTGCACACAGTAGGCAATTAATAAATGTCTGTTAAATTGTATTGAATCTCCTGAGACAGAAGGAAGGAAGAGATCCTGCAGGGAGCTCTTTGTCTCAAATTATCACTTTTCCATGACCCTGCGTATCTCTCCCATCTGAGGGAGAAGGGGTAAGAGGACAGAACCCAAAGCAGATAAAGTCCCAACTGGACACTCCTTAAAGCCCAACTAGGGCTCACCTACTTTGAGGAACTGGCAATCAGAAATGTGGGAAGGAAGGAACAAGCATTTATTAAGCAACTATTATATGCCAGGCACTATGTTAAGCACATTACAAATATTTCATTTGATCCTCACAATAACCCTGGGAGACAGGTGCTATTATTACCCCCATTTTACACATGAGGAAATTGAGGCAGAGGGTAAGTGACTTGCCCAGTATCAGACAGCTAGTAAGTGTCTGAGTCAAGAGTTGAACCCAGGACTTCCTAACTTGAGGCCCAGCACTCTATGCTAAGCTCCCTTGAAGACAAAGAAAAGATATCAGGTGTAGATTCAGAGATATTATAGCCCAACTATCAGAAAACCAGCTTCTTGCAGGAGACTCTCAGTAGCCACAGTGCCAGGATGGAGGTGGGCTTGTGGAAAAGGGCTGGAAATGGAAATGGAAATGGAAATGGGAAAAAATTCAGGGAAGGAAAGAATTTCAAAGGGTTGAGTATCTGAAGCCTGAGGGTCTGGGTTCTGAAGAACAAAGGTAGAAAGAAAGTATTCCCTCTCCTCCCCACCTCCTAAGGGGCTTATCCTCCCTCTTGGAGAAGAAGCCTTCAACAGAAAAGCCCTGAGACAAGGGGAGATTTACTCTTGGTTTTACTCCTTCACAGAAGATTTATGTTTGAACCCCAACAAGACATCAGTGGATGAGCCTACATTTTCTTATGACCCTCTGGGTATGTAAACCTAAAGCAGAGGTGGGGCAGGGGTTAGGGTGAGCTCTGGAGCCCACCCTGGGGGAAGAGTTCTTCCTTTGTACTATTTATTCCCTTCACCTTCTCCCTTAGTGGAATGCCAAAAGACAGCTGGAGAATATAAGGAATTCTTCTACATTGACTATGAGGAGGAAAAACCACAGTGTATTAACAGATGCATGCAGGGTTTCAACTCATCACTGAACTGCAACCAGGGAAAGTGTCACTTCCAGCAGAGTGGGTCTCGGAAAGGACCTCGATGCCTGTGAGTTCCCAGGCCCTCCTAATAGCCTCCCTCCTTCTCCTAGCCCCATCTGGGACCTCCCTGGACTGCATCCCTGAACCAGACTTCCCCCTATCCTTCCAGAGGAGCAGATTTTGATCTACCAGGCTAAAACCCTGTGGTCACATCTATAACAATCCTAGCCTCTTATTGGTAAGAGTGCCCTCTCACTGCCTGCCATCTTGACTTGGCCCTTGCCCTCAAGGTGCTGATGAAGGAAACCACATTCACTTTCTTGGACAGCTCTTGGAGAGCTCCCAGCCTGAATGGAAGGAATATGGTAGCCACCATTCAACTGTGAAGGAGGACATACCCACACAAAGAAGAAAAAAGCACAAAACCCAAATCACCCTAACATAAAAGCAAAGAAATTATCAATTGGCAGGGATGTGCCAGGAGCCACCTCAAACTGGTTTAACATGCTTAAATTTTCTGTGTGAACAATCACACCTCAGAAACGTCAATGCTACATACAGGTCAGGGCTTGATTTGTTGTGTTGTGGATTCTCTAGACTGAAGAAAGTGCTAATAATGCAGATTTAACTTAAGTGTGTGTGTGCACACTTTTCCCCCCTGAGAGTCAAGTTGTTAAAAATTTCCCAGTGCACTTTAGTATTGCTCTATAAACACTGTTGGAACTCAGCAAGAGGGTAGTAGAAGGCTCAGGGAAAGAAATCATCACCAGACTGGACGCCAATAATAATATTAAGCCATTTAGATAGTTCTTTGGGGTTGGTGACGTGCTCTACAGCCATTATCTTATTTGAGCCTCACAATGGACCTGACTGCATCTTTCCTGAAAAGACCCCAGGAAGGGGGCAAGTCAATGGAAGGACTAACATGTGTCATTGAAGTAGACTTCTGGGAAGGAAAGGAGCACTGAGCAGATTTGAAGAGGGGAAGAGCAGGATATGATGTGGAGGGTTGGGGAGGGTGTCCCCCATGTGGTAGTAGATAGATGGGAAAAATGAAAATAGAGTTTTGTCTGGATAGATTGTGCTGGGGTATCTGAAGATGAGTTAGAGGTTGAGGGAGTAATTAGTGATGAATTCTTAACATGTGAGGAGGACTATGGGTACACCTCAGTTGGAGCAATCCCCCTACCCTGACCCTTCCACATGGAGCTGCCAGGGAACAAACTCTGGGAACAGGAAACACTATTAGAACAATCAGGGAGCAGCACAGCTGACCTAGGGAAACAGAGGTGGATAATGATTACAAAGGCACTAGCTTCTCTCCCACTCTGAGGTTGCTTATAGACTACAGATTAAGTCAAAAGTACACAGAACCTCTAGGTTAGTATTCCAAAATTGGCCTTTATAAGGTGATTTCTGAGCTAAATGTGTTTACAAGAAGGAGGGCAAGAGAATCACGTGACACCTCTTGGAGGCCAAGCAATGCCTCTAATGTGTTGTGTCATTCCTAAGTGCTCTCCCTTATTGTGGGTGTCCATGTGCAAGTAGAAATGCCCCTGGAGCTGGAATTAGATTATACTAATTCACGTTTTGGGTCTACTATGACCTTTTTGAGTGGCTTTGAGAAGTCATTTAACCTGTCTAAGCCTCTTTTCTCATCTCTAAAATAAGGTGAATGGACTTTAGCTTAGTATGATCAATAAGTCCCACACATTGGGTTATGCTGTAAACTGCTTGAGGTCTTGGGGAAAGAAACCACCAGAGGGCCAGAGATGGTGCAGTGGATAGAGCACTGGCCCAGAATTCAGGAGAAACTGAGTTCAAATGTGACCTAAGACATATAACACTAACAAGTTGTATGACTCTGAGCAAGTCACTTAAGCCCAGTTGTCTCTGGTGGAGGAAAAAAGAAAAACAGCAAGGATTTTAGGCACTGAACACCGTATGTCATGGCAACTGCATCAGCTTTGGAATCCTCCTGTATCAGAAGTAGTCATACCCTAAGACACAAGATCATAGCTCCCAGATAGTTCTAGGCCCATTTTCTTTGAAGCTGGACTCCATCCCCACTCCAGCTCACATTTCCTTCACTTGGGGCCCCTTGACCAGTCACCTATCTCCTATATCCCAGTTCCTAGAACCTGTACACATCTTTACCCTCTTCACAGCCCTCTCTCCAAGGGATCAAAGGGCCAGTTCTGGAGACGGGGTAGGGTTAGAAGAGTGTCCATGATCTTGACTGAAATCTGCTTTCTCTCCTACCTTTACTATCATCCAACAGCTGTTTGACCACAGATACACACTGGTACTGGGGAGAAACCTGTGACTTCAGCACCAGTAAGAACCTGGTGTATGGGTTAGTGGGCACCTTAGGGGCAGTGCTGGTGCTCACCATTGTTGCCCTCTCTGTCTTCACGTACATGTCCTGGAGGAAGATCCAAAGGTGAGCCATCTCTATCTCTACTTCTTACATTCCACATGGTAATCTTTGGCCCTTGTAATTCTTCCTATCTTCAGGATAGCCATTGAGGGTTGGGAGGACAGATGATCTGAAGGAAGTCACAGCTAGACTGGATGCTCTTCAGGTCATCTCCCCAAAACGTAGCTTCTCTGAATGTTATGGGCATTTTGCTGAGCCCTC